TTTTTTCAAGATTAGTGCCATTTGCAAACTTTAAACCATCCACTGCATTCTAAGATCTCGATCATTAATATATATCTGGAAAAGCAGGGAGCCCTGGGGAATTCCACTACAAACCATCCTCCAGCTTGAAATATCTATTGACATTACCCCTATCACTCAGCTAATTTTGTATCCACATTGTTACTGCTCTTTTTATTCCATGATCTATGATGAATAATGTATTCCATTCATAACAATTAACAAAATAAATCACAGGTTAGTAAATTCTTCATATTTATGGTAAAATTCACATTTTCTGTAATTAGACCTAAGCTCCGTATATGACACTGACCCTACAAATAGCAGGTCAGCAGGTTTCTTGCAGCTGCTACATCATTAATTTTCACACAGAATGATTGTCATCCCCGAAGATTAGGGTGTTATTTGAAAACAAAGCAACCGAGGTAAATCTCGCAGGAAAATGTTTTTGTTTTAAAGAAACATCCTGCAATACCAAGACGAAATCTAACTGCTAGATTATCATCAGCATGGCTGTACGTGTTTAAGCCTTGTACCAGTCACTTAGAGGTTAAACTTCTGTAATCTACTTTGAAACATTAATCATTCTATTAAAGCCCTCCACCTGCACAATAATTCAAGATTGATGATATGTGAATATTCTGGGGAATCAGAATTTCTACCATTGAATTTCAGGCACAAATCTAATGAAGTTTAACAGCCAAACCATTTGGCCCCCACAGGTTCTAATAGTGAATGATATGTGCAATAACACAAAATTGCCTAAGGGATGGAGAGTAAAGTCTAGTGAATGCTTCTGTAAAATGGTTTTAAAAATTTCCAGTATAAGGTCAACTTATCATCAAGCTTATATTGCAAGTGTGGTGTCATCTAGTATTGACGCTAACCATTTTCACTACCCTTTCCATATGCAATATTGCCATATTTTCAATCAAAAAGCATCATGGCAATCTATAAAACTTTCATCAAATCAGCAGGCTAGGTTTTGAAGAAATAACTTTATACTCTCAGCGTTTAAGAATTCAAAGTTTAAGCACTGGATCATAAATCAAACTGTGAATCACATAACATTTCACAACTGGCTATGGAGTAATTCGTGATTGATTCATTTTGAACTAATAGACAAAGAGGTGTTTCCAATTCCTTTGTAAATGCACGTTAACATTTCTGAACTACTGCTACTACTTCGATATTACCGCAACCACTACTACTAAATTTTGTAATTTATGTTGACATTGTGATGTTAAATCAAATAGATTTATGCTACTGAATTTAACTATGGTTGAAAAATAAGGCATTTTGTCAAAGCTTTTCATCTTGCACTCATCAGGACATTCTCAAGAATACCAACATAAAGGAAACAACATTTTTATACGTATGTGAAGTGCATTCTGAAACATGGACACCTTGCCACAGAAAATATACTTGCTACATGATGATCGACAGTCAACTGCCAGATCTAACTAAATTTAACCAAAGTATTTTGGTTGGTCCAGGCATTATCCTGTGCAATGAACCAGAGAATATCTGGTGCATATTTTATTAAGTTGAAACAGGCAATGTGTTTTATTTCCTTTCATGGAATGTGAATATTACTGGCTAACCAGCATTTATTAGCAATCACAAATTATCCTGGAGAAAGTGGTGACAAGGGAATTCATGTAATCTTGCAAAATTTTAAAATTACACTTGAATTGGAGGCTGTTCAAAAGAGATTCACTGGCTGATAGCTTGAATGAAAGGGTAGACTTATCAAGAATGACTAAGAAGGTTAGAACCTTTATTTATCACAGTTTAGCAGAATGAAGGTGATCTTACTGTAACATACAAGATTCTGTGGGGGCTTAACATGGTAGCTAGAGAAGGTGTTGCCACTAGTGGGGGAATCTTTAACTATGTCCCCTAGTTTAAGAATAAGGGAACACTCACTTAAAATAGATGTGAAGGAATTTCTTCTCTTCGAGGGTAGTCAATGTCTGGAATTCTCTATCTCAGAGTGGTGAAGGCTAGAGTATCGAAAGAGGTAGATACAATTTTTAAATATCAGCTGGTGGTTAAGCTGAATTGACACTAAAGTGGAGCTGAGGAGCAGAGGTAGGCTATTCAGCCCACTGAGTCTGTTCTGCCATTAACTGAGATGATGGTTGATCTGATAATCACTTTGCTGATTATATATATACACACACACACACGACAGGAAAGATCATCAACCTGAAACTTTAACTCTGTTTTCTCACCTCAGATGCTGTCTGACCTGTTAAATATTTCCAGCATTAGTGGGGCTATTTTAAGGGATGCAGGTGAGTGGGCATCCACAAATCTTTGAAAGGTGGCAGATTGGGTTGGGAGGACAGATAAGGCAGTTTTTTTTTTCTTTATTCATTCACAGGATGAGGACATTGCATTGCAATGCTAGGCCAGCATTTATTGCCCTACCTAATTGCCCAGAGGGTAGCTAAGTGTCAACTACATTGCTGTGGGTCTGGAGTCCTATGTAGCCAGATGAGGTAAGGATGGCAGTTTCCTTCCCTAAAGGACATTAGTGAGCCAGATGGGGTTTTCCTGACAATTGATAATGGATTCATGGTCATCACTAGATTCTTAATTCCTGATATATATTGAATTCAAATTCCACCCTCTGCTGTAGCAGGATTCAAACCCAGGTCCCCAGAATGTTATCTGGGTCTCTGGTTTAACAGTCTCTGGCTAATACCACTAGGCCATCGCCTCCCGTTCAATGTATACCTGGCTTTGTTAATCAGGCATTTGATACAAAACAAAGTCATGACAAATTTCCATAAACCTCTGGTCAGGACCTGGTTGGAGAATAGTTACAATTCTGGGCTCCACACTTTACAAAGGATGTCACAGAATTTAAGAAATAGTTGGAGTAGGCCATTCAGTCTATGGAGCTGCTGTGCCATTCAATAAGACGACGCTTGACAGGATTGTGGCTTTAATCTCACTTTCCTGTCTACTCAGCAATGTTTAACTTCCTCAGAAACCAAAAGTCTAACTCAGCCTTCAAAAATAAAGGACCCAATCTCCACTACTCTTTGTGGAAGAGAATTCATAAGACTAATGTCCCTCTGAAAGAAAAATATGCTCTTCGTTGCCATCTTAAATGGAAGACTTAACAACACTTTCTAATCCTTTGCTAATGATTGAGAGTAAACTGATGTGTTGATATTTGGCTTTTCACACACAGGGCAATGATCAACATTGCTGGGTAGAAGTCAATGATGAGGTGCAGTGGAATGATCAAGGCAGGCTAATTCTGGAACTCCAGTCATCAATGTTATTGATGGAATATCATCAGAGCCTATAACCTCTACAGTGTCCAGTATCTTCAACTGTTTTTGATACCACAAGATTATGAAGAATCAACTGGCATCCAATATCCTAGAGCAGACAAAGGCAATTTGTCTGCACACTGCTCCTTGCTGAGGCTGGTAGCAGATACTTCAGCCTGGTCTTCTGCACTGATGTAATCAGCTGCCTCATCATTGAGGAGAGGAATATTTATATAACCCTACTTTGGCTTGTGGCTTAATGTTGACTCTGTTTGCTATCATTTTGAATTTCTAAATGCCTTGCTAATTCCGATTTAAAAATGAATTCAGCAATTTGACAACAACAACTATTAGATTAGCTGGCCTCTTGTTTTTCTGTGTTGCTTATTTCTTGACAGGGAAATAACATTTGCAGTTCTCCTATCCACTAGGCCTTTCCATAATCTGGGGGACTTTTACTTCTGGGGAAGCTTGCAATCAATGCACCCACTATCTCTAAGAAATCAAGGGTGCTGGTTGTAAAGCCCTGGAAACTTGTCAGCTCTTAGTCTCATCCCCTTCTGTGCTTAAGAAAAAATACAAAACACAGGGTGAAAAAGTTTGCCAATTCTTTGTTCACCATCATTAATTCATATTTTAGTCATCGAATTGATCCACACATTTTATTTTACAATATTTACTGCAGAAGCTCTTGTTGTTTGTATATTTTGTAAAAAGTTCGTGATAGTTTATTCTCTAATTCTGATTTCTTCCCATTTATATTTTTAAGTCATCTTTTGCTGGTTACTAAAACATTCCTAGTCTTCTGGACTACAACTATCCCTTGCAGCAGTGTAAACGTTTCCTTTCAATGAGATAGTGAAGGAATGAAAGCTATTTAAAACCTAATATTGACCAAAACTCCCTCCTCAATAAAATCAGAATTGGGTGAGTTGTGGTCAGGTTTGATGTGCTTCATATTTTTAACTACCCACCAGATTCGTCCCTTCACTTCCTTGGTGCACCATTCAGCAAGTCTGAATCTCAACTGTTGAGGTTCCCATGAAAAAAAATTCCAGTATTTGCAAAGAGGAGCCAGTGAAATTTCCATTCTCTACAACTGTCCCACACACCAGGACCAGTGCCATCATAGAGTCCTTCCATTCTACATTTCACAGCACTGCTGTGCATGAAAATTATTTGAGATGACATGAGAGAATTGACGTAGAGGTTTCCATTCCCTGAGCTCAATACTGAGCCAAGTAAGAAATTAAAAATAACATTACTTTTTTTTTTACAGCTTTGCCTTTCCTGTAAAATTCAGTTACAATTTACAGAATAAGAAAAGTGCAAAATTATGTACACATTTTAAGTTGTTTGAAACGAGAGAAATCAATTGATTTTCATTTTCTTATGGGTATGAAATTTAATTGCCTCAGTTTATATTCTTGGCATAGTTTCAAATGAATGCATTCCAATCCAGATTCTCAGAAAAAGGTAACTTCAACCAAAAATATCACTAATTAAATATTACTTTGCATTATTCTGCATTAGACTTTTCTGTTCTTTAGACATTTAGCGCATCACACAACATGTGTTTTAAAATGCTTGGTATCTGGTGTGTTAGTAAGACCTTTCTTCCTAACAGCAGCATGAAATACATATCAACATGTTATCAAAATGGACAGACTACTGGACCCATATTCTTACCCATTTCAGGGGGAAGCACAGTGAGTCGATTTCCTTGAATATGGAGCTCCTTCAACTGAGACAAGTCCCCAATCTCCTTTGGGAGCGATATGAGGTCATTGTCCCTTAGGCTGATCTGAAAATGGAGAGCTATTAGACCAATGCAGATTTCAAATGAAACAGTTTACAAACAATTCTTAACTTGCTTCCTCTCACTATCTCAATTTATTACAAGCGTCTACAGATGAGCAGAAGCTAGTGCACGTGATGTGGTTTATTCCAGCAAAATAAACCCCAGAGATATCCGAATTGATTCCATTCAGAACTTAGCGAGCTTCAAAAGTGAATTGATTTCTCAAGAATTTAGATAAATTACTTACGATCTGCAGCTTTGTGAGCTTCGCAATTTCTGGCGGCAGGATTTCAAAATCGTTGTCACTTAGATAGAGTGCACGCAAGGTGGCTGTAAATTAAACAGTAATATATGAACAGAGTGGCATGTAACCAGACCATGGAGGCCTGATCAATAAAAGTAGTCAAGTTTGATTAATAGCCTTGGCTTTGCAAAAGCCTCTGACATGCCCAGGGCACCTAATAATAACAAGCAGGTCAAACTGGTTTATTGTGTTGATGCTTGAATGTGGAAAGTGACCACATCCTGAAGTATTGACACAATTAACAACTTCAGTAACAAAATATGCTTGATGCTCCTAAAAGACATGAAAACAGTTATCAGCTGGTTCACTCCAAACTTTTATGGCCTTTGCTACTGCAATGTAGTAGAAAACAACTGCATCAACAATCTGAGCTACAAATCTTCTCAAAATCCTTGAGTAGAAAACATTTAACACCCAATTTTCTACAATTTTTTTTAATGCACACAGCATGATTTTCATGGAAAATCATTTAAGACCTTCATACATTGACCAAACATCATTTACCATTTTCCTCATTACAAAGCCAAGTATATTCCATTTTATCTGCAGATCTTTTTTTAAAAAAAAAAGAGATGTTTGACTTCTGGCACTCATTTTAAATACAAGGTGGAACAAATGATATTTTAAAAATAAAAAACAAAAGTAACATTGGATTTGGCCTTACATATATAAATGTTTGAAGTCACCACAGGAGCTCTACAGAAATAAATGTCAACATTAACTCAATTCATTTTTGCTGAAGGGAACCAGCTACTTAGGGTTGGCAGCACGTTTCTTAATTACTACACTATCGTGCATGGCAAATAGGACAGTTTAAAAGTGGGATGACAAGTGTGCACATGCACCAATTGGAATGTTTTATTCAATATTTAAGTAAAGGAGGATACTGTCACTTTAGAAATATGTAGGATATTCTGTAAACTGGATTTAAGTTTAACCGTTGCAACCTTTTTTTTGAAAAGCTACCATAAATGATAAAAAGACAGGACAAAATGCTGAACACCACTGTACTCAATCATACTCAGTCTACGTCAACAGGCATAAAGATAAGCAGGCTGGATGTATAGATCAGTGACTTTTCTAATGGCAGCTGAGTAGCAAGAAAGATTATAAAAGCATCCTGTCAGACTGTTCAGCTTTTGCAGTAATGTTAACAGATAGAGGAAGATGACAACCCACTATACAGTTGGCCAAGCTGAATGAACAACAGTAACTTCAAGGTTTCAGTCAAAAATACCAATAACAGGAATTACACCCAGCCAGAAATTAGAAACACAAAGGATGTTAAATGTGAGCTATGCAGAAATTATTGCTATCTCTTTGCAGAAATATAATCTACCCTTTCCAGTGATGCTCATGTGCCATTAGCCAACAAAAAATGTGGTGGCTAACTCCAGTCAACTTTGAAAGTAAGGGACAACAAAGAAGACAATAATTTTTAAAAATTCTTGCCTTTCCTAAAAACTAAAAGGACGAATAACGTGTGATTTGTATTAAAAGTGATTATTCCCACTGCAGTGCCATAGTGAGTAGACAAATGAAGACAGTGTAGGTGAATACACAGCTGAAGTAAATGTGCAGGAAGGAGAGCTTCAGATTCCTGCGCAGCGGGACCATTTTGGGACAGGAGGGATCTATACATGCCAGATAGTTTGGCCCCATCCCAGATGTAACATCCTTATGGATTGGTTGACTGGTGGTGTGAAAAAGGATTTCAAATGATTTGGCAAGGAGGGGGAAAACAGCATTAAAGCTGCAGATACAAGAAACAAGGCACACAGAAAACTACAAGGAATAAACCAAAGAATAGCAGAGAAACAAAAAACGGGATCTTTCTCGAGGAAAAGAATAACTAACTTGAGACTGGAAAATATGTTTTAACACAAACAGTGTTCCAAATAATGTTGGTGAGCTGCAGCCACAACTTGTCACACGACTTATCAGGTAACAACCATAACAGAGGCTCAACTTAAATCGATTTAGATTTATTGTCACATGTATATAAAGATACAGTGAAGAGTGTGCACAGAAAATAAGCACAGGAAATGGGATCTAGACCTTTTTAGCTGCAAAATATTCATGAAGGAGAGGATGAGAAAGTTGTTGGGAGGGAGGGGTCACTGGTAGTATTGATCAAGAATAATATTAAAGGTCTACTGATGAAGAATACACTATAACATTCAAAGACTGAATCCATTTGGTTAGGGTTAATGAAAAAAAGCTGTTACACTGCTGGGTGTGTACTATTGACTCCCAAATGATCAGGAGACTGAAATCTCTCTACAGACTTGTTCCTCAGAAAATGTAAAAATCACAGAGCACTAATAATGGAACTTTTTAAAATATGCACAGGAAATCTTTGTTGATGTCTGTGTTTCTAGCATCATAACGAAAAGAAGTCAGTGCTGAATCTAGATGGAAGGAATGATATAGGACTACTGGATTGCGTTTGAGAATGAGAAGGCATCAGCGCAGGTGGACTGTGAAGAAGGATTGACCAGGAAAATCAGTAAAAATATTATACGGCAAACATGTTCCAGGGTAGACTTTGCATGCCCTCACCAGGCATATTTATGGGAGGGTGCCAAGTATAGCCCACGATCTTAACGTTGAACAATGTGGAATTATCACACACAGGAGAGCCTTCAGATAGTTTAAAATGCTCACTTTTACTCAGCAAAACAAAGCAAACAAAATATAAACAATTCGAAGCCCCATTACCCCTTTAGAACAGAAACATCATCTTTTCAGTACCAACAAATTTATAGTCAATAATTGGTCACTGCACCCAGCTCTGATCTACTGGAAGTGGGTGTCAGTTAAGTCCTGTTCAGCTTGTTGTCGTGCTGGATCTGCAATGCTCAGTCACACAGAAGGTGATGTTTCTCTTGCGTAATGTCCTCCGTTTCCTACTCAAAAGACGGCAGCTGCTCTCCCAGCTTTTCTGAGTCCTTTCTATCCCCCTGTGCTAAGATTATGAGGGTAAACTCTGTCGAGAATGTACTGAATGTTCACCGCCTAGACCAATCCAAACATAAGAACCTCATCTTCAGCCTGCAGAACTGCAGAGTGGGGAATGGACTATGGACCCCATGTCCCTGTCCACCCCAGACATACACTGACCATATCCAAGCTCCCGGACTGAGATCAGGAGCTAAAACCACGCCCCCCCAAGAAAACTCCATTAAGACATTGCATGTACAGGAAGTGAACGGTCATGCTGGTACAGTGTGATTGACTGACATAGCACAATGCTATATAGCAACATGTCCACCCACTTGACTGATTACTGTGACAAGTATGATAAGTTGCCTAGCTTTGGGTCTGTGCTAAGCAGCAAGGCAAGACAGAAATACTGTGGGCCTTTAAACTCTGGCCAATGGCTCAAAGGACAACAGAGCAAGGCTAGGCAAAAAAGCTGCGAGCACTGAACTGGGTACAAACCACTAAGGGAAGCAAGTGAGCAGCCCTGAGAAGCAGCCTTTCCCAGGGGGCAAAATGTCTTTGCAGCAGCACTCCAATGAGCAGTGTGCACTGGCACCTAGGTGCAGCATCGAAGTGCAGACTCTTTCATGTCAGGATTTGTCGCCACCTGGTTTCTACCCGGTGGCTGGGAGAATGGAGGCTGCGTATTCATGAGAATAAGTGAAATTAAATGTTAATGCAAACTGATGCATGCAAATCGGCCTCTCAACATTCACTTCACCTGACAAAACAGCTGTGCTCCGAAAGCTTGTGTTTTCAAATAAACCTGTTGGACTATAACCTGGTGTCTTATGACTTCTGACCTTGTCCACCCCAGTCCAACACCAGCATCTCCACATCACTGCATTAAAGTTAGCATTCAAGGTGGAAGGGAATAAGAAGTGGGAGAAAAAAGACAGGCTATGCTAAACAGGATGGCATCACTCAAAGTTGACATGTCATCTGGACCAGATAGAATGCTAGGTTGTTGAGCAAATCAAACATAGACAGCAGGAGCTCTGTCCACAGTCATTGAACCCTCTTGAACACGGGAGTGATTCCTGAAGAATCAAGGATTGTAAATTTTATATCCCTGTTCAATGGGATAAGCTTGGTATCTACAGTCCAGTCAGGCTGACATCAGCCGTGAACAAACTGGTGACCATGCTGAAGGAAAAAAATGAAAGTTCATCTGTAAAAGCCTGGGTTAGTAAGAGACAGCCAGTTCAGATTTGTTAAAAGACAAATTGTGTCTGATGGGGGTAGTGAACACATATATGGATTTACAAAAAGTATTTTATGAAATACTGCATAATAGCCTTATTTGAAACACAGAAGCACAGGGTATTAAGGGATTGTTGGTAACTTGGGAATGCAATGTTCAAAGGCTGAGCGACAGCGTATTTACGAGTTGATATTTTTCTAACTGGAGGGAAGTCAGCAGCAGAGCCCATCAAGGTTTGGTGTGAGGATCACTTCTTTCATTGGTATATCAAATGATATGGACATGGATGCCGGGTGTAAACTTTTGAAAGTTTGAGGATCATACAAAATTTAACACAGCAAATAGTGAATGAGATGCTAGTAGACTTCACGAAGACAAAAAAAGTCTGATGGATAGGCAAATGCTAGCAGATGCAATTTTATGTGGATAACTGGAAAACTAATCCCCTTTCAGAGAAACAAACTGGAGAGGCAGGATAATTTAAATCATACCATTCGGACAGAGAAACCAAAAGACCGGAAGGTACATTTTTACACGTGTTTAAGTGTCAAGCTTATGAAGCTTTGAAACATAGGCTATATTTACCTTTGTAAATAGGGGCAGTGACTGCTGATGCAGTGAAAACAAGGAAGGCATAACAAACCATTACAAATGTCTGGAAGGATATTGTGCAGGAATCTGTGCATCAAACATCACAATGTCAAAGTCATGGAAATGGTTGAAAGGAAATTTATCAAGCTGCTATCAAAAATGAAGGCATTTAAAAGAGACTGAAGGAAGTGATATTGTTCTCCTTACAGCAGAGGGGATTGAGGGGACATCTAAAGGAAATACAATACAGAAAACTGAATGGCTTGGTACAAATGCCATGGTAACCTGAGATCATATATTGAAGATAATTAACAAATAACTAGAGGAGAAATAAGGAGAAATGTTTTCATACATTGCATCATTAAAATTTGTAATGCACTATCTGAAGAAAGTAGAAGAATCAGATCTGCTTGAGCTTTCACGAGGCAATTGAACACTTAATGATAGTGTATTAACTTGCCGGAGTATAGGGAAAAGGCTGGGTTTGGGACTAAATTGGATTCGATCACAATGAGCATATGTACCTTGGGCTAAATGATCACCTTCTGGACATTGAAATTTTAGGAGCAAATAGTGTGTGACATCAAGGATGTTATCTGCACAATCAAGGTTCCAAAGTATTTCTACGTAAATAGATAAGTGCATTCTCAGCAAGTATGTAGGCAGGTAGATAAAATTGATTATACTGACAACATTAAGGACTCAAGAAAATAAAAAATGCCAAAGGTAAAATATGACACTCAAGAAAGTGACATTTAGTTAATATCAGAATGTAAATTCAATTCATTTATCAACAATTTAAACTTGTATTCTTCCACACTGGGTAAAAAGGTTATAAATAGCATAAATGACACATATGGACTAGATAAGAAATTATATGCTTCAGCCTTGCATGGCAGAGTTTGAATAACAAATTGAAAGTTACTTTCCCACCACCTCCCCACCACAAGCTATGGGTATCATTGGCTAGCCTAGCACTTCCTGACCTTGGGAAGGGTGTGGTGAGCTACCTTCTTGAAGTCTATATGGGGATCAGTAGGTACACTCATAGTGCAGTTATGGAGCACGTTTCATGATTTTGACCTCACCAAAGAGAAGGAATGGTGATAAATTTCCAACACAAGATGGTATGTTGCTAGAAGGAAGTATGTCGGTGGTAGTGCTTCAGTGCATTTACTGCCCTTGTCTTTCTAGGTGGTAGAGGTCATGGGTTTGCTGTCAAGGAAGTCTTGATGAATCGCTGTAGTGCATCTTTTAGACGGAACACATTGCTATTTCTGTGCGCCAGAGGAAGGAGTGAGTGTTTAGGATATTGGAAGAGCAATTGACACTTCATAGCACCATTGACAACACCTTCTATCACTTTGCTGATGATCAAAAGTTGATTGATACGGCAGTAATTGGCTGGGTTGGATTTGTCCTGCTTTGTGTGAACAGGATACAGCTGGACAATTTTCTACATTGTTCGGTAAATGCCGGTGTTGCAGTTATAGTATAACGGTTTGGCCAGTGGTGTGGCAAGTTCTAGAGCACAAGTCTTTAGTAACTTGCCTGAATATTGCCAAGGCTCATGGCTTCTGAAGAAACTAGTGCCATCAACCATTTCTTGATATCATGTGGAACTGAAGTGGCTGAAAACTGGCACCTGTAATATGGGAGACCTTGGAAGAAAGCTAGGATGTATCATCCCATAGGTGTTTCTGGCTGAAGATTGTTGAAAATATTTCAGCTTTGTCTTTTACACTGATGCGTTGGGCTCACATATCATTGCCAATAGGGACATTTTTGGAGTTTCCTGCCCCAACTTGTAATTTAATGAATTAAATAACAAGTGGGGGGCAGGAAACTCCATAAATATCCCCATTGGCAATGATGTGTGACTGGCTGCAAAAGGACTGTAGAGCATAAATCTGATCCGATCCATTGGTTGTGGGGTCACTTGGCCCTATCTAGCGCATGCTGCTTCTGTCGTTTGGCCTTCACGTTGTCCTGGTTGACCCCTCATTTTAGGAATGCCTAGTGTTGATCCTAATATTCCCTCCTGGAATTTTCATTGAGCCACACAATGTCAGGCTGTTGTTTGGCAAGGCAGTGGGACAGCTCCCACTATGTTAGCACAAGACCACCACCCCAGCTGTTAGTAAGGAGAGCAGGTCAACAGGACTGGCAACAATGAAACATGAAATTAAAGGAACAGTGGCTGCATGGACATGAGATTGTCTATGTTGCAGAAAGCACAGCGTCACAATAAACATTTTTTTCCCAAACTGGACAGACATGTAACCCAGAGATCAGTACTGGCACCACTGTATCACTGAGCCGGACTTGGGGTAAAAGCATCAATGGTTGTAAAATTTTGTCTAAGTTACACAGGAATGTAGTTATACATTTATGTGTTGAATCGCCTCAGGATCTTATGATTCAATAAAATCACCCCTTGTTCTTTGAAATTTCAATGGGTAAATATCAGACCCTACTGGATTATAACACTTCCATCTCAGGAATCCATTGAGTGAACCTTCTGTAAATTGCTTCTAAGCAATTATATTCATCCCTACACAAGGGGAACAAAACGGAATGTAGGACCCCAAATGCAGTCTCATATGGCTCTCTACAGCCATAGCAATGCTTTCCTACATTTAAACTTGATTCCCTATAAAAGAATGCTTCCTAATTTCTCTTGCTCATGGTTTAAGTTATACAGCTGTGTAGGAAACAGCAAGGAGGACAGCAACAGACTTCAGGTGAATAGAGACTTTGAAGATGGCAGGACAGCATTAAGGCGCCTGTTTAAAACGAGTATGGAATCCTCTAGTTTATAAATAGAGACCAAATACAATACCTTTATAAAAAACATACCTCAGCTGGTGTATTCTACCTACTTCTGGGTGCCACACTATCAGGAACATCTCTAGTATGTAAATATACAGAGGACATACATTACAATGATACTGGGATTGAAAACGTCTGTTACGTGGAAAGACGAGTGAATTTGTAGCTAATTCTCTTTACAACACAATGTTAAAATGAGATCTTATGGAGAAGTGAAATTCTTCAAGGTTTCACCGATAGGGAAAATAAGGAAAAACTGTTTGCAGTAGGGAAAGGTCGATAAAAGGGGACATAGATTTAAAGATAAATGACAAAAGAATCAGACATGACATATGGAAAATAAATTACAAAGTTAGTTAGGATCTGGAGTGCCTTGTTTGAAAAAGGATGGAGGAAGTAGTTCAGATAACTTTCAAAAAGTGATTTGGATCAATAGTTATAAAGTGAAAATGTGCAAGAGTATGGACAAAAAGCAGTGAAGTAGGCCTAATGGGATAGCTCACTCTCAAAGAGCTAAGTGGCCTTCTTAGGTCTGGGCACTAAGAAACTGGATTTTATGCTTTACTAATAGCCAACTGAATAAAATCTCTAGGCTGGTGATGACAGATTGCCATGACAATGAAAAGTGCTATACAGGTAGACTATAATTGATAATCAACCACTCAACAATATACTGAAACTATAAAGGGATATTTTTTCTTGAAAAACTAATCTCTTTTTCTTTATTCTTTCGTGGGATGTGTGCACTACTTAAGGCCAGAAATAATTTGTCCTTCTATAATTGCCTCTTGAAGTTAGTAGCTTGCTAGTTTATTTCAAAGGGCTTTAACAGTCAAACATCTTTCTATATGGACCCAGAGACTCGCGTTGGGCTGACTAAATAATTTCCTTCCTGAAGGACATCAGCGAACCAGATGGATCTTTTTTACGACAATGGCTGATGGCTGTTATGGCCACCATTACTGAGCCGAGCTTTCATTTCCTGATCTTTCAATGGAATTTGAATTTAAATTCCTCAACCTAGCATATAAAGCTAATAGTGGCCACAGCAATCCATCATCGATTGTTGTAAAAACCCATCCCTTGTTCTTTAAGGTACTTTAGAGAGGGAAACCTGCTGCCTTTACCTGGTGTGGTCTCCAGTAATGTGGGTGACTCTTACCTACTTTCTGAAATTGCCTCGCAAGCCACTCAGTTCAAAGACAATTATGGACGTGCAACCAGTGATGCCTGATCCAATGAAAGAATTTAGAAAACAAATGCTTCTGCAATTTGGGGAAAGACTGACTCCACGCTGAATTTGAAACAAAAATATGCTGCTATAGAAGAAAAAAGGACAATTGGATACAAAGCTTCATAAGTCTAATCATTTAAGTTATCTGACATTAATTGAGAATAAAACTCTATTCTCAACGCAATAATTTTCTCCAAATCACTTGCAAGTAATTCTAACTTGAACGAATTTGCAAAATAGTTGCACAGTAGTTAAAGTTATGATATACGTGACATTAGGAAGCATTTGCATTTTGTAAAAGCAAAGGTGACCAATTGATCCGACATATTTTGAAGTATTTTGACAAGGTCAAGTGCTTATATTCAGTTCAGTTTTTGCAGTGTTCGCCCTTTCAAATTGTCTCCTGTAGGGACAACCAGGCTAAGGATCAAGTGCCCACAACAGACTGGAATCTGGAACTGGCAATAGCACTAACTAATTTCACTTATATCGCTGGTCGATGCAGGCTACCAAAAATAAATAAAAAGCTTTTTAAAACATAAAGTTCCATACTGAGGTAGAAGAAGTTGCCAGGTAGAGAATTTTCACTCAGGTTGTTGTATGTCAAATCAAGCACTTCCAGGGCTGGCAGAGACCCGAATCCTCGTGGCAGAGAGTTCAACCTGTTCATGCTGTTGGAAAGAAATGAAATACAATAAAATGGGTTTTTATTCTCAACACATGTGAATACACATTTCACTACATTAAAAACTGAGTTGAGGTTCTTTTCTGACAATTTGATAGATGGTAGGCCCAAATTCCCTGAGAAGATAATGTTGGCTCATTTACTAACTAGGAAATTGTACCCAAAATGTGCCGATTAGGTTACAACTCGGGGGTCCAAATCTATTTGCAGTCACAAATATTAAACCATCCATGAACCAGTGCAATAGAACAGCGTAACAGAAAGGCAAGAGTGGAAATTGGACCACTGGAAAATGAGGCTGGAGAAGTCATAATGGGGAACAAAGAAATGGAAGAGGAACCAAATAGGTACCGTGCATCAGTCTTCGTGGTGGAAGACACCAATAGCAGAGTGTAGTGGCAACACTAAGGAGAAAGCGCTGGGGAAGCTGAAAGGTCTGAATGCTGATAAATCAACCAGACCGGATGGGCTACACCCTAGGGTTCCGAAGGAGATGGCCAAGGTGATTGTAGAGGCATTGGAAGTGATCTCTCAGGAATCCTAGAGTCAGACAGGGTCCCAGATGCCTGGAAAATGACTAATGTAACACCCCTGTTTAAGAAGAGAGGGAGAAAGAAGAGAGGAAACTAGAGGCTGGTGAGCCTGGCCTCTGTCATTGCTAAGATTCTTAATTAAGGATGAGGACTTGGAAGTGCATAGTAAAAAAGGCTGAATCAGCACTGGCTCATGAAGGAGAGATCATGCCTGACACATCTGTAAAATTCTTGCAGCAGCAAGTTAAATAAAAGAGAACCAGTGGACATAGTCAAAGGCTATCTGGAAATCCAAATAGATTAAGTGTTGCACAGGAGGCTGCTAAATAAAGATAACAGCCCACTGTGTTAGGGCAAAATCCTGGCATAGGTAGGGAATTGGCTGAATGGCAGAAAGTAGAGAGTAGGGATAAAGGATTTCAGGATGGCAGCCAGTGACTAGTGGCATTCCGCAGGGATGAGTATTGGGTCCACAACTATTCACATTGTATGTTAACAATCCAGACAAAGGAACTGAGGAGGTGAGTGTAGGTGGGGAGGTAGGGAGGAGATAGGTCAGTCCAGGGAGGACGGACAGGTCAAGGAGGCGGGATGAAGTTAGTAGGTAGGAGATGTGGGTGGGGCTTGGGGTGGGAGGAGGGGATAGGTGGGAGGAAGGACAGGTTAGGGAGGCGGGCACGAGCTGGGCTGGTTTTGGGATGCGGTAGTGGGAGGGAAGATTTTGAAGCTTGTGAAGTCCACATTGATACCATTGGGCTGCAGGATTCCGCTTGGGCCTAATTCTGCTCCTATTTCTTATGGTCTAAAGATAATACAATGGTTTCTTTTTATTTCAAGTAAAAAACTATCCACTGATGTATTTAAGAGTGGTAGCCTAGTGCAGTTTGATTAATTGCACTAGAACTACTTTTATCACTATGGATGGGAATTTTCCCAGGTAATAAACTTTATGAGAAAAGTTGGGGAGTTGCACGAGATTGCCAGTGAGGAATTTCCCACTAGTGAGAGCAAAACGACCCATTTTCCAAATAAGTGTTGAACAGTGAAACGATTTTCTTGTTAGTGAGTGACAAGAGGTCTGTTTGCATGCGTTAGCATCCTGATTGTCACATTAGCTCACATCATTGATTTGCAATTTCCCACTATCCGTCTTGCTGGATAGAAATTGGATAGTGACAATTGCCAACTTGAAGGTCAGGGGACACACTAGTGACTTCAGCTCCCACTTGCAGGGACACCCCCTCATTCTGCGGGACCTCCAGGAACACGTCAGTGAGAGGTGGTAATTACCCTCTGTCTGATACCTCCAGGAAAAATAAAACAACAAGTGCAGGTCGGCTGTGGACTGCAGTGCTTGACCGGGTGCACGGCTGGGTTTTAAAGATGGCCCCGGTGGCAGAGACCCAACAAGGTCCCACAGAACTCAGAAACAAAACCAGAAATCGCTGCTGAAACTCAACAGGTCTATGGGAAGAAAGTAAAGTTAACATTTTGAATCTGGTGACCCTTCATCGAAGCATAGCTCTGCATTCTTCCCACAGATGCTGCCAGACTGGCTAAGCCTTCAACAGCAATTTCTCTTTCTGTTTCAGATATCCAACATCCACTGTTGTTTGTTCTGTCCCAGCAGAGGCCAACATTTTAACCAGTGCAGAATGAGAGAATACAACAAGCAGGGCACTATGCTATGTGGTGTAGGAGCAAGACAGCCGTGAGAAAACTCTTCGGGGCTCACAGACAGAAATTCTCCATGAAACTCACTAATATTGGACACTAGTCAATTTCTGGTGAGATCCAGCCCAAAAGTTTATTTTTTAAAAAATGTCTATTTCTCCATCTGTGAATAATCTGGTTTAAAATCCTTGAAAAAAATGCCTTAAAGACTGTCCTGAAAGATTAATGGCTGAGTATCCTATGAATGCCACCTCAAGGTTGTGCAAAGAGCAAAAGGAAAGTGAGGTCATTCTCAAGTGACAGGGAAGCAGTTGCCCATTTAAAGATGGCACTGCAGGACGTAACATAACAAAACTTGCACAGAATTAATGCTTCTTTTTTCCTCCTAGCAGCCTCGCATTTTCTCTCTCCTCCACTCCGCTACAGTCCCCCATCAGCACAAGGTCAAAGAATAGCTGATCAATTTTTTATTAGGTACTTCGCTGCTTCTAGATTCAACATGGAATTTGTATGATTTGCAATCAAAGCTTCGGTCCTATTTTTGGACAATACCCGTTGGCAGAAATTCGATCATCTTCCCATTCACACCTCCTCCAGAAACATCTTTTGGTTCCTTTGATCATCCCATTAGAATTGCTTTTCAGTTTTTCAAGGTCACTCCTTTTGTCATTTAATCTCTCCTGCTTTCCAAATTCAAGGCCTTCCCTGTTTGTTTCTTCACACCTTTAGGAGTCAGGAATGATTCATTGGTAGTATGCTTGCCTTCAAGTCACATGGCTCTAGGTTAAAGTACCACTCCAAGACTTCAGTGTAAAATCCAAGGCTGCCACTCCAGTGCAGTATTGTTGGAGTGCTGCATTATCAGAGGTGCTGCTTTTCAGCTGAGATGTTAAATTTAAGTACCCTCTCAAATTTAAGTAAAAGATCCAGTAGCACAACTTTTATAGTTATTACCATCAATATTTATTCCAGAAATCCACTTCACTAAGAGACTATATTGTCATAATCACATTGCTAATTTAGAGGACTTGTTGAACACAAAATGGCATTATGTTTCCTACATACAATTGTGTCTACATTTTAAACTATTTAATTGATCGAAAGTCACCTCAGGATATCCAGTGGTGAGGACAAGTGCTATTTATATGACAATGAGTCATTCTTCTTTTTTTGCTCCTGCTTAGTTTAAAAACATCTCTAAGCACTCCCAATTCTGTTGAATGATCAACTACCTGCAACATCTGCACAGGTGTTACCAAGTCTACTGAGTCCTTGCAGCATTTTGTTTTGATTTCAGATTTCCAGCATGTACAGTATTTCACACTTTTGGCCACAGCGGTTCTCTCTGCTCCATGTCAGCAATTTGACTGTCAGTTTCTGGTTACCAGGTTTAAAGGAAATTAATGTCAGTCCAGTTTTCACCAAATTCTCTGATAGCTCACAAATGACAGAAGATGACAAAAAACTGTTACTTTAAATTTTATAGATCAACAAAAATGTATTAAACATAGTTCATGCTTGTAAAATCAATTTTGTGTCCATTTACAATAGTCCAATGGTAAGCTTCCAACTAGATAATGAACACAAATCATAAGATTCATATATACTCTTTCAGATAGGAAGGGTCAAAAGATTTAGAGTGGAGGCTTACTGGTGAAAGGGAAACATACTTCAGAATGCAAGCCTTTTACCTGCTAAGCGTTTAGTTTCAAATCCTGTTTAGCAAAATGTTTTCATCTAAAGACACGTGTTTTGAATAAAATGAAATAGGCACAAATTAGGCACATTCATGGCGTCACTGGCCAGGCAGCATTTATTGCCCATCCCTAATTGCCCAGAGCGGGGTTAAGAGTCAACCACATTGCTGTGGCTCTGGAGTCACATGTAGGCCAGATCAGGTAAGGATGGTAATTTCCTTCCCTAAAGGACATTAGTGAACCAGGTGGGTTTTTCCCGACAATGGATTCACGGTCATCATCAGACTCTTAATTCCAGTTATTTACTGAATTCAAATTTGAACCCAGGTCCCCAGAACAGTACCTGGGTCTCTGCATTAACAGTCCAGCGATAATACTACTAGGCCATCACTTCCCTCTTGGGAGATAGATCCACAGTGCTGTTAAGGAGCGTGTTCCAGGATTTTGACCCACTGATATTAGAGGAATCGTGATAGTTTAATGTCAGCTTGGAGAGAGACTTGCAGGTGGTGGTCTGCACCTGCTGTCCTTGTTCTTCTGGGTGATCAAGTTTGTGGGTTTAGAAGGTGCTGTCAAAGGAGACTTGGTGAGATAGTGTAGTGCAATATTGTTGCCACTGTGGCAAATGGTGTGCACGTTTAAAGGTGACAGATGTGGCATCATTTAAGCAGGTCAGCTTTGTCCTGGATAACAAAGCTCCTTGAATGCTGCTGGAGCTACAATCATCTAGCAAGTGCAAAGCGTCCCAACACACTCTGTGATTCCAATGTAGAAGGTACAAATCCAATGTAAATTAATTGCCACAGAATTCCCAGCCTCTAACTTGCTCCTGGAGTCAATGTATTTTATGGCTAATCCAATTTAGTTTCAGTCAGTGGTGAAATTAGGACGTTGATAGCGGGGGATTCAGAAATGAAAATATCATCGAATGTTAAGGAATGTGAATGATCACCAGGTTGTATCTTGTAGAAGATGGAACTTTCAAGGTACAAATGCTACTTGCCACTTATTCGTCCAAGCCTAGATGTAATTTACAGATTGCCCCATTTTGACATGGACTGTTTCGGTGTCTGAATCATCATGAGTGATGCTGAATATGGAGTAAGCTTCAATGAAAATCCTAGTTCTGACCTTACAATGGGGAGAAGGTCTTGATAAAGCAACTGAAGATGTTTGGCAATGTACTAGGGCTGAAATAATTGGCCTTTAGCAACCTCAATAATCTTCATTTGTGTTAGGTTGGGGTCCAGCCAATCAACCAGACTCCCACTGAATCCAGTTTTACTCGGGCTCCCTGGTGCCACACATGATCAAATGCTGCTTTGATGTAAAGGGCAGTCACTGGCATTTCACTTTTGGTGTTCAGCACATTTGTCCATGTTTTGATCAAAACAGTGAAGATGTGGTTAGGGGCTGAGTTGCCCTGGCTAAATCCAAACTGAGTATGTGAGCAGGCTAATGTTATGCAAAATAAAAACTGAAAGAACTGAGGATGCTGGAAATCAAAAAAAAAATTGCTGGAAAGGCTCAGCAGGTCTGACAGCATCTGTGGAGAGAAATCAGAGTTAACGTTTCGGGTCCGGTCATCCTTCCTCAGAACAGGGTCATTGGATCATGGACCCAAAACGTTAACTCTGATTTCTCTCCACAGATGCTGCAAGACCTGCTGAACTTTTTCAGCAATTTCTGTTTTATTTTAAAAATGTTGTGCAAGTGCTACTTGATAGCATTGCCAACAACACGTTCATTAACTTTGCTAATAATCAAGTGTAGATTAATGGAGCTGTTTTCTGCATCTTTAGGTTTGTTTGGCTTTGCGCAGACAGGACATACCTAGATAATTTTCTACATTTGTGGCCTAATTGTCATGCAACAGTCTGGCTAGTGGTGTGGCTCCTGCCAGAGTATTGTCACAACCCATAGCAAACTGAAATGTTCTTCTTCAACAAGGGAGACTGTGTCTTTCTGCAGGATGCTGCTGTGGGAGGTTGAATGTTTGGGGAAGGGGCTGAGAATAGAAAAAAAATGGCTTTTCGAATTGTGTAGCTTATCTGTAATTCATCTTCTAAATAGGTTATGCAGAATATGGGAAAAGATGTTGAATTTGGGAACGCCTCCCTCCATTTCTACTTTCTGTCCAGGTCTCATTTTTCCTGTTTCTTTATTGACCCAACACAGTATAGTGCAATTCAACTGCCCATTAAGATTTACCTACCCAAGGTTAAGATGCTTTAGTTTCTGTAGGCTACTTATTTGCGTTGGAAGATCTTCGATCTGATTGTTGAAAACATTCAGTACTTCCAGATTCCTCAGGTCAGCTATATTTGCTGGAACACCTGAAAAGTAGCAGAGCAGGAATATCACTTTTGCATATCACTCAATATCACTTTTCATTTTATAATTAATGCCAGTGTGAGTAGAAGCAAAGTATAACTACTAAACAGAAAATTATTATTTTTTTGGGTAAACAAGCATGGGGCAGTTCATTGCAATGTGTACCCAAAAGTATGATGGTGACTACCCATTCCCAACAAGTAAAACAATTTTAAGAATTCTTCATGTTTTTGAAAATGACAATCGAGACAGAGTTGGCTAGATGTTCAGCTTCAAGGTGGGTAGAGTGTGAGAGAAAGCATGAGCGCAAGAGCTTGCTGCTTCTGCAACTGTTTGAAAACGGCCCACCTCAGACAGTAATAATGACAGCAAAATGTGGCACTGTCCTTCGTCCTCTCACCTCCAAACTCCCCATGCACCATCTATGCCACTTCATGCCCTCCTACAACTTCTATGCCAATCCATAGCATTACTATGCCCATTCATGCCCTCTATACTTTGTACAGAACCAATGAATGGTACAGGAACAACAGGTTATTTGAAAAAGCTTTTAAAAATGCAATACTTTCCTTAAAATGTGGTTTTCAATACAGCCTTATAAAAGTGATAATCATCCAGGCATTTTAAATTATTATTAGTGCAAGCTGCAAGCATTTGAAATCTATAAACATTAAACAATTAGCATATTAGGTCACAGGGTAAGTTTTGTTAATTGAGCATTTTCTTTGGGGTGCAAGCTGTTTCAATAGTGTATGAAATACATACTAAGACTTGATGAGGACAGTTTTGGGGGAGAAGAGATATGCTTTCACAGGATGCGTCCTCTGGCCACCCACGTTCCCAATCCCACATGGCCATCAGAAGCCCACTACTCCCATCATCCAAAAGACCACCAGCCATTCCTTTGTTTCACAGCTTGCTCTGAAATGCTCCCTGTCTGACTCCATGCCAAGTCTTCAGTCAGACTTATGGATGGAAAACCTATAGAGGCTGAAAGACCGAGGCTGTAAAACTCAAACACTACCCCCTACAGGCAAACTTCTAGATTTCTGTCTAAAACTCCAGTTCCGGCTTCGGCAACCTGCCAAAATATCGAGGCTACAGATTTCAATATATTTCCCAATGCAGCAGTTCATTGTATGTTGTGATGAATGGTGTGTGATTTATATATTCAAATGAATTTCAAACTGGTGGCATATGGACATTGGTCTTTTTTTTTTACAAATTGGTTCAATAAATAACTAGGTCAGTCTTTTTAAATCAGTATGCATGTTAGAGAGCAGATAATTTAAAGACCTCCTTGAAGGAGTTAAAGGAAGTTTGTTTATATTATGAGAATTTACAACAGGAGTCTATTAGTATAAGCCATTAGCCGAAACCATGATGAGCAAGTTTTCCTTAAATTTAGTTAAAATCTTCTGAATTCCATTTAAAAACCTGACTAAAGTCAGACATAAGAATAGTTTCTCCAAGAAAAAAATGGGGCGTTTGTTTAGAACAGTTAAGGGAACGTGTAACCTCAGTGGTCATTTCAGGCTGAGAAAATCCAAGAGAATTCAAGGAAAATACTTCACAGCTCACAGAATAGGAACTGGGGTGTGGAGTGTGATGGGGATGGGGGAGGTGGGAGAAAAGCAGTTTAATCAAACTACGATTGGGCAGGGAAGGTTGTTTTTTTTGTTTTGTTTTATGGTAAGTAACTGCAAAGTGATAATGTGGGGGAGTAGACAGGACTTTATCTTGCTGTGTTTTCAAAGGTTTCAAAACGTGTTTTATTTAAATAGCTTAGATTATTTTCTTTTTTTTTCTGTGAAATAAACTCTGTTTTCATTGCCAAAACCAAATCTGTGTGTGTTTATGTTTGAAAGAGTGCTGCATTAATTACAAAAAAAAATTATCGAGCAAATCGGATTTCATTCTGGGATCTAACTTGTCCAGAAGTAACATCAGCTGGAATATAACGTTATGATGAGAACCACCAACAATGTAATCAGTACATATTTAGCCCCAAATCCATGTTTAAAAACTTCATGTTCATGTGCTCCAAATGGAAGGAGCACCTGTTTGAGGCCACATCATTTGAAAAATCAAAGTGGAGTTTTTGTTTTAAGCAAGAGTATTAAAGGTTCCAGAACAAAATCTAGTAAGTGGAGAATTAAGGTTATGATGAACTGTGTGTAGTATAGTTACATGCACTGTATTTTTGGAGACTGCATTTCAAAGTATTGCATAATGAACATTGGTTAATTTTGTGAAGGGTTTTCCTTAACAAAATGGCTGGAGAGTTCTTCTTTAACAGTGACCTAATCCCATGTATGTCAGAGAACAGATGATGCAAACCCTTGGGTGGCAGTGCAAAAAGAGTTTTACACTGTTGTGGTTTACGACAGGTAAACATTTAAGGCCATTAGCTTTGTTCGCAATTCAGAAGATTGTTGGATGAGCAACTAGTTTTTTAAATTCAGTTCAGAAGTAAGTTTCTCAGTTTAGTTCAGAAGACATCAAATGTGGAGTCTAGAAGCCAGTTTAGTTTCTCTACTAAGAGTAGTTTAGAGTGCCTCAACATTGAATTTAGTTTGTGAAACTTCGCAACCAGGATAGTGTGGTAGAAATCTGCAGGTTATCAGAACTGTGAAAGTTTAAACTCTCCGACTTTCAGAAAAGTTTATGTCAACAAGTTTGAGAAGAATTCATCGAACTGTCTCCACAGACCTAGACCAAGAAACTGTCAAGAGTCAGCTAAGTAGAACCCGAAAGTGTCAAGTTATGGGATATAATTTCTCTGGACCGGAGTCTCTGCAATGGGTAACATCAAGAAACAGGATGAAACTTTGTTTTGCATCTTGCTAACCACCTTCAACGTTTACATAGCTTGTTTTGTTTTTCAAAACATTTCTTCTTTTGTGCATGAATCTTCTCTGCTATCAAAGGAAATCTGCAACCTGATGTAAATAACCACGTTAACCAACTAAACAAAACAAAAGAAAGATTTATGAAAATTTTATCCGAGATCCAAATGTCCAGTGGGACCAGTGGCTGGATTCATAAGCTACAGATCAGTCATGATGAAATTCATTGGGAGAGCAGGTCCAAAAGGTGGAATTGCCTACCCCATTCCCATGAGGTAAAAAACATCTGCCTGGACTAATGATGAACAATTGACCAAAAATAAGGCTTGTAAATTATATCGGTAACTTTCAAACATCTAGTGATGTGCTTTCTTTACTGTGCAAATTGAACAAAAAGGAAACAAAAATGATCCCAATGGTTTAATCAAAGAACAAATGTATACTTATTTGCCTATGGGAGTCAGAAAAACTCAAATCAATAGCAATAAAACAGGTTACAACACATCAGGCTTGAATCAATACTTGCTCATTAGAAACCACACAGCCCACGTTATGAATTGTTCAGTGCAGATTTAAGTGCTGGTCAACAAGTTACACAAATTTAGATACAAATTCAATTTAAAAACTTGTTGTACAAAAAGGTTTCACAATCTAAATATAGTTTAAACAGACCCACAAACTCTCAGTACGTAATGAAAGAATATAATGTTAACTGCAATGAAATGATTACAAATTGCATGCATCAACATTGCGCTATAAGGAACAATTATTGGTCAAAAACAGCTTTCTGGAAAGGTACCCCCAGCTATGGGAGAGACACAGTGATGCAGTGGTAATGTCCTGAGTCTAATAACCAAGAACACTAGATGAATGCTCTCAGGGTGCGAGTTGAAATGCCACGGTAACCATTGGTGGAATTTAGACATCCTTGTGGTGCAGTATTACTGTCTGTATGGCCGGACCAAATGGTTCAGGTTCAAGTCCCTCCTGCCCAGAGGTGTGTTCCGGGTGTTCCATCATTCCTTGATCAGCTTTCCCTGAGCCCAGGTGCTGTTAACTGAACTGTGATGAACTTTGTCTTTATTTTACTTTTTTAAAAAAAATTATGTATGACTTCCGTCATTAAAGGTGACGAGGTGGGGATGACTGATAAAACTGTTCATTGTACTTTTCATGTAAAAGTACATGTGGCAATACATTTCTATTCTATAACATGCCTGAAAACAGGTTGATCAAAAATACTTGTCCCCAGCTGTGAGAATTAAGATCATTTATCCTGCTTTCCTATCAAACCTCCAACACTGAAACCACACGCCCCAGCCCAAAATTTAGAGTGAGATGCAAATAAATCAATAGTTGGTTAGCTCAGTTGGATGGATGGCAAAATTGAGATACAGAGTGATGCATGTAGTCCGGCTTTCTTAACCATGTACCTCACTTGAAGAATGGTAACCCTCAAGTTAAACTCAGACAGCAGCACTGTTAGCTCCAGGACAGTGGCAACTTCCTTCCTTATTTAGGTAGGATATAATTCTACTAAAATCAATGCACAGAAAGTTCACTGAACTGATGCCTGGGATGAAGAGCTTGTTTTATGATGAAAATTTGTACAACTTGGGCCTGTATCCATTGGAGACTAGAAAGATGACAGTTATCTAATGGAAAACATACAAAAGTTGATAAGGGCATGCTGATAGGGTGGATGCTAAAAGGACATTTCTCTTGGTGATGGAGATTTGATTTAGGGTGTTAAATGGAGACGAGGAGAAATTTCTTCTGAGATTATCTTCCCCAAGGAATTGTGTGGGCAGGGTCATTGAATATTTTTGAGCTCGAGTTAGATAACTACTTGATAGATAGTGGAGCTAAAGGGTTATAGACAGACTGAACCATGTAAAACAGTTACAACAAAGCACTGTCTCAGATTGTAATAGAAACAAACTATTAATGTATTGGCACATTAAAAAAGCATTTTTGCAATTTCTTTATCTTCCAAATTTCACCATCCACATGCAAACAGCCAACTTTTCATGTAATGCTACTTACGATAGTGAAACATTCCTGGATTGCAAAATCAGAAAAAAAAACTCCATTCCAAGGGAGGAAACATAATGACAGGTAAATAATGACTTGGTTAAACGCAAAGCCTTTAA